TCCCAATCTCCATCCTGGGGTCCATGCGAAGGAGATGCTTCTTCCTCCTCCTCAAGTTCAACTTCCACCTCCACTTGTTCCTCCTCCTCAGCACTGCAAGGTACGACATCTCCGCTAGGAGAGCTCCTGACCTCACCTGGTGCCTCGGGGGGCTCTACATCGCTAAATAACTCCTCTAACTCCCTTTGCTCCTCCTCAGTGAGGGCCATCTCTTCTGAAAGTCCATCAGATGGCTCCTCCTGAGAAAGATCAACCTTATCTAGGGGATCTGGGTTTTCAGGCATGCCATGCAAACGTGGAAAACGGTAGGAGGCTGCTAGAAAGTACTTAAACTTCTTAGGGGCTTTAGACCTACCTTCGGGATCCACACCTGGCACCTTCAAGGGACCACAGACGTCGGCTGACAAGGTGTACTGGGAGGGGTGCACAACTCCTGTGTGCCTGCGACCGCTAGCGGCGGTTCTCACACAGACATTGCAGTCCTTGCGAAAAGGCTGATGATTGTTCCTAACATGCTCTCGCCACTCTTCTAACTTAGACTTGGAAACCCTAAACCATTGCGACCAATTCTGAATTGCAGCAACGATGGCGCGGGTGAGGCCGGGCGCCCACACGGCAAGGTCAGCAGACTTCCCGTTGTAGGGAGGTTTCCTACTCTTCGGTTGCGAGCTGGGGCTTGACAGGGACACCTCTTCCAACTGTTGCAACTCAGCATAATTGGTTCCTAGCGTGGTGGGCTTTTCGCACACGTGTCCAAAGTCCCCTTGGTTGAAATGCACCTCCCACAAACCTGCCTCCTCTGCGTACAAATTCCACAACCCGGTATTCCAAAAGCTGGGAACATTGCCAAACAAAGGGTTTGAAGGCTCAACGTACCGATCTACAAGCATTGGGTTTTCCAACAAGAAACCAACTTCTAGCCTGATACCTTCAAGCCTAAGGCGGCTGTGAGACGGCTGAGCCTTTCGGCCCGCTAACAGCGAAGCCGCATCAGCAAAGTGGACTTTGCGACCAGCTGTGGCCAGCGCATGCAACCAAATCTGCCTGACAAAGAGGGCAGTATCATGATCGACAAGAGTACGCTCTGCAGTGGTCAACGTTGGGAGCCCGTATAAATCCACCGGACTTCGGACTGGAGGCGGACCACCAGGGCGATGACGAAGGACACTCATGGTACGGCACGGCGGACCACCGAGAACATGAGACACTTTGCCGTTCAAAGCACCCCACACAAGGACACGCCAAGCCGGAGACTTCAACACATCCTGATCACTACCCCTTCTAATGTCCAACTCCAAAACGGCAACGTCACCTGAGGCCAAGTTAGAAAACGGCTTGCGACCCCTAGCACCAGCGTACAAGTGCACAACCCACTCAGGAGCCTTGAGAAGAGCTCTGCGGGAACGACGGTTCAAGTGAGTAAGGCCTTTGAGGAGTTCCCAACCAGAAAGTCCACGCACATCCTCAATCAACCCTTGCAAGGAGGCCTGAGGCACATCAGCGAAGAACGGGGCTGATTTTACAGCAAGATGGCCGGAACTCACCGAACCAGTGGACACATAATCCTCCAAATGGCCAAACCACCCTTTAGACATGTT